CAAATCAGTTGCCCTTGACTGTGTGGTTAGCCATCAACAATCCAGTGGAAAAGCTTAGTAAAAACTTTAAAAAAAAAAATTCTGGGATTCTTCATTTCCTGCTCAGGCACTAAATTCGTGAGGAAATTCACCCTTATTTGTCTTTATTATATAGACAAAGAGGGAGGTGTCCCCAGCTGGAATATCCAGCTGTGACAGACAATTCTGGTCCTGGCCCCCTCCCCACGTGTGGCCCCAAAGCTAGAAGCAGGAGGAACATGAGCTCGTAGGTCCAGCACCCAGAGCCCAACCCTTCCCGGGGATGTTCCCAGAGCCGGCACCCCGGAAGCAGGGGCTGGGGAGCAGGAAGTTCACCACCAACTACTTCTGCGGCGCATTGAGTCTCACAGATTTGTCACTCAGCACACAGCTTCTTTCTGCACAGCCCACACAGCTAATCCCTGTACTATATTTCTCTCAGTTTTCCCTCCTCCACCCACAATTCTGCTGACTTCTCTCCACACAGGAGAGACAGAACAGCTGAGGAAACAGCCGAGCGGTGGAAAATTTTTGCAAGTGTTTTGAGCCCACCCAACCTGAGGAGAGCATTCAAAGAAAAACAGGAAAGGGTGAGTAGGAGCTCCCTCAGCCCCCGCACACAAGCCGGGGATTGTCACTCCCGCCCACCCCCAGTCCCAACAGGGGCCGACTGCTGGGACACAGCCGCTGTGCCCACACACGAAAATATGCAAATATGCTTTCTGTGAGGATTATGGGGAGTGGAGGCAATTGCTCTGCTATTTCAGACACCACGTCAGGGAACGCAGGAGCACAGTAGGCTCATTCCATTCAAACACCTACTCTAAGAGTTCAACCACCACCTTTGGTCTTAAATTGGAATTTCTAGAAGCCATCACACTGGGAGAATGAATGCAATAGTGAAGATGGATGTGTTTCTGTTCTGGCAACCAAAATTAGACTCCCTAATCTAAAGGGTAATCAATGCCCTCCGTGTTGTGTGTGTGCGTGCCCGCGCACATGTGTGTGCGCGTGCGATTTCATATTACTCATCCTTTTCTCCCTTTTCATTTCCTTTCAACTTCTCTTCCTACTCTAGACCAGAGCTTTTAAGGCTGTCTGTCTTTTCAGGGATTGGGGGTGAGAAAGAAACGTAAATTCATTTAGTTCTTAGTTCTGTTTATTTCTCCACCTCTCCTTTGCTGGAGACTCCAGCCAGTTAAATGACTTGCAGTTGGCAAGGGTGAAGGCTAACGCCATCATTCATACATTCATTCACTCATTAAACAGACCTCTAATAAACAGCTGCAGAGATAAGGTTCCTGTCTTTACCCAGTTTTCTGTTGGGTTTTTTGTTTTGTTTTGTTTTTGTTTTTGTTTTTTGCATCTGGTTTAGCATAGGGGTTTTGCATAAAACCTAGAACGTATGTAAAGGTTATGTAACCAATGGATAAACACGATTACAAGTGCCCTTCTCCATAAGTGATTTGTGAAAAGATTTCCATCCCACAGGTTGGACTAGTCCTATCTCCTAGTTAAGTATCTAAGCACTAAAATTAACCCATTCACCATTCTTCTTTACTTTGTTGGCACTGTTTATTTTTTTCCCATTTTGAATAACAGATTATCCTCAAAGCTGGCCTAACTTTTCTTCTTCGTATCAATATTATATGTTCACTGCTAATGGTATGTACCCATTCAGGTAACACATACATATTGAGTAGCTACAATATGCCAGACACTGTTTCAGACACTGAGGCTGCAACTTTACATAATAATCTCTTCATGGAGCCAACAAGTGAGTGGGATCAGACAATCCTTGGCTTGCTGTTGTTTCCAAGAAACAAAATAACTTTAATTATGCACTGGTATGCAGAAAACCAAGGTGAAGGACGTGGCTCTAATAAAATGGAAAAGTAGGGATCCTTTGCCTTTGTTGACTAGAGGGGATCAAGTTTTGAGGTTCTTTGTTTATTAGTTCTACTGTCTGACTCACTGTCTCCAGTTGGCATCTTAGAGATTGGGCAACATAGATTATAGTTAAAGTTACTTTTTTTTTTTTTTAGCATTTTGAACCACCAGACACTGTAAGGAATGTTTTAAAGTTGGTTGTAAGAAGCAGATGGTCAAAAAACTTAAGACACATGGCAACTCCAGAAGAGGAGAATTTTCCTTTCCTCCTGAACTCTTCAACTGGAGAACAAAAAGAGATACAAATGAGTTTTGCAGCTCTGGGCCTCTGAATTATTTCACAGGCTGTTGATGCCAACCTGAGGTACAAAGTATTGAGGCTTCTTGTACTGACGAGGGATGACTCTGATGTGGTGCATCAACAGTAGACTTTTCACATGAACAGGGTAGTGATTTGTGGCCAGCAACATTGTGCTTGCTTCAAAAAGTCATCTATTGTGAGATTCAGCAGGGATCCACAGAGCCTAGAATCATCCCTGGGCTGTGGCCTGAACATACCATTCTACCTCCTGGCACTGAGGGGTCTTTTAGCACTTAATTGGAAAAGAGCTCCGTCTCCAACACAGCCCCAAACTATCAACAAGGCTCTGCATGTGGAATTTCTCTTCACTTCTAAATTTGCTGGACCATATCCATTCAATAACAAAGAATTCTTGTATTGTTCCATAACTACTGTCAACTTTCTCCTTATCCAGACTCTCAGATGCTCTCCTTTGGCAAGAAAATAAAAATGAACCCACTGGCAAAGTCTCAAATGGAACAAACTAATGACAAGTCTTACATTTTAAATCAGCTCAACTTTTGTTTTAATGAAATTGGTGGATGGCCATTTTTCCCTTACAAATGAAACTGTCATTGATTTCTCTGGCTTTGATGAAGGATTCGCTTGGAATGCATTGTTCATTGTTGATATCAAACAGACTTTTTTTGAGGGCCCCAGGATGATGAGAGAGGAACAACATTAATGAAAGGGGGTTTGAATGGTATTGCATTCTCTCTTTACATCGATGTTTCTCACGTGACAAAGGAAGGTAAGATACAGAATAACTCCCAGTTGCCAGGCTGTTAAGGTATGCTAACTCAGACTGTGTAATGACACACGTTTTAGAACTAGTGGAAAGAATATGACAAACCTGAGTTTGCATCCTGACTCCAAACTCTCACTCCATCATTTAATACCATGGCCGAATTATTTAACCTGCCTGAGTCTCATTTAATGGAGATCATGACTTCTCTCCTAGAATTGCTGAGAGGTTTAGATGAGATTTAGTGTAGGTCCTGGCATGCTGAAGGCCCTCAAAGGATACCCTTCCTCCGTCCATCCCCACTTTCCCTTCTCCCTGTAGCCACATTTATGAGATGACATCACAGTTCCTGCAGTGAGACGGCTATTAGCTCTCAGGGTTTCCAGCTTTCTGCTGATTTAAGAATCCAGCTGTGTTGATATTATTCATGCAAATGCCAGCTGGAGACTGATGCCACAACAAGGATGAGTCATTACCAAGCACCCCTTAACAGTCTGATCTTGCCCCAGAAAGAACTGGGCTTTCCTCACTGATGGTGGAGAGTGATGGGAGAGATTGGCCTGGTCTCAGGCGCTCCTGACAAAATGCTCTCAAAGCATCAAGAGGTTTTTATAGAGAAGGTCCCCGACTCCCCTAAGTGATATTAAATAGCGGTTAGCAGCTTGGACTTCAAAATCTAACAAAACAAGGATTGAATCCTGATTGCCACTCACTCGCTGAGTAGCCTCTCCAAGCGTCTGTTTTCTCCCAGACTTTGTGTGAGGATTTAACAAGGCCACGCATATAAGGCATTTAGGACTGTGACTTGGCATAGAGTAAATGCTCAACAGAAGCCAGTTATAATCTCTCTCTGTGTATCTCCATCTTAGTCCTCCTCCCTCTCCCTCTTCCTTTCATCTCTCTTCGTCCGTCTCTCTGTCTCTAAGTTAACCTCTCAGCTACCTGCTAATCATTGAAGCCTGCCTTCCAGCACTTGGCACATTAACAGCATTGTTTCTTGTACATTTACCACATTTTCACTTCTGCTGGAATGCCTACATCCCAACCATACATACCCCACTCAACATTAATTCCTTCTTTGATCATTATTTTGTGAAGCCTGTCTTCACATGCTTGAAAGAGACTGTAATTATAGCTCAGTCGTATGAAACTTCACATCATAACTAAATAAATAGCTGTTGATTGATCATAAAGATAATCAAGAGCTTAAATAATACACTTTATTAAAAAGCTGTCTCATTTCATACCATTATTTCCAAGTTCCATATCCTGCCAAAACAGTTTATCTCAGTAAATTTGGTTTAAAAAAGTCTTTATCAAAATATGAATATTAATAATAATGATCTGAATATTCATCATGGGACATGAAGTTGCCCCACTGCCATGAATTGGAGGTTAAGAAAATATCTCAGTAAAGGAATTAACATTTACCAAATGCCCCCTGGATATATAGCCCTTTACTGACAAATTTTAAGTTCGTAATTTTAGTGGGAGAGCTTTACATTTCTTTTTTCCTGGAAAAGTCTCTAGATTCTTCATGTTCCTGAAGAGGCAAGTATGTCTCTGTGACAATATATATGTAATTAGCTCCTTTATATTACCAATACATCACAGAGACTTTCAAATTTACATTACATACAAGCTCACTATTAGTTTTCTGAGTTAGGTGTTACCTATTCTGATGTAATTACTAAAAAGCACATAAAATATGCATATATGCTGTCTAATGACTCAAGTTAAATATACCTCATAGAATGTTCTTTCTTATTGAAATTCACATACATTTTTCTTACAAGGGAGTTATGATTCTGCATTGTAGCATGTGTTTTATTACAAATTTGGAGTTCATTGATGAATAATGATGGAATTGCAAATCAACAGCTTAATTAGCTCTGGAGGATTTTAGGAAGATTTTCTCCCTCTGTGAGCATAAGCTTAGAGGTTAGTGTAGAGCCCAGAGCTGGGTTTTTGGCACCCCAGGCTCTCCCCACAGAGAGGGATCCTTACCTGAGGCCCTCGCCCTCAGGAGAGTGTTGTCTGCAGTACTCCAAAGTGTAGGTCTCAGTGGCCTCGGGGTTGGCAGGCCGCCATCTGATGGTGGCCGTGTTCCAACACACAGTACAGTCCTCCGCACGGATCACAGGGGTGGAGGGCGCTGCAGAGAGAGAAAGAACCAAGTGAACTGTGGAGCAATTGGTGCCAGTTCTGCTTCCCTGGTATGCTAGAAAGGATGCTTGGGCATGACTTTGTCTTAATTTTTGATGAAAAAATACATTCTGGGCTGAAAACCCAAAAGGTATAAAAATGTATATAGTGAAAAGTCTCCCTCTCATCCTGCCTTCCAAATTGCCCAGTTTTCACCCATCCCCAAACCACCTCTAATATTAGCATCCTGTAAATCTTACCAGTTTCTTTACACATATAAAAGCAAATAAAAATGAAGATTCTTGTCCCCCTCCCTTTACACAAAAGTTAGCCATGATCTTGCCTTCCATAAGTGCTCAATAAATATTTGTTTTAAAAGGCAAGAAGAAAGGATAAAATGATGGGATAGTAATTTCTTCCCCTAAGATAGTTATGATTATCTTAAAGGCAATGCAGACTTGGCTCATGCGATACCTGCTTCAGCTCCTGTGAAAAGATTCCATTATGGGAATGCATTCCCAGCTAAACAGCCTTGCTGAAAAGCCTTTCTGGGGCTCCTAACACCCATGCGAGGAAGACTGAGCTTCTTACCTTAGCAAACATGAACTCTATGCACTAGTCTTTCTCACCTTATGTCTTTCCTCTCCTTGTTTTTAAGTCAAAAAATAATACCAAAATTCCTGTTATGTCCTGCACCTCCATACTCTCTTAACTTGATGCCTGTGCACATGTGTCTTCTTCAAGTGGAATGCACTCCTTTAACACGTTACTTCCTACCAATCCTTCAAAGAGTTTCGTTCAGACATCAGTTCTCAGAAGGCATTTCTGATCCTGCCCCTACCCCAACCTGTCTCAGGCACCCCTCTGGAGTGTTCTCATAATAACCTATGCATAACTGAATCACAGTTCTTACCCCAATTTTTAATAGTCTTCTCTTCAGTATTTCCCCTACTTGACTATGAGTTTTTGAGAACAGGAACCCAGTCATTCATTGTTATAGACTTAGCAATGCACACCACCCAGCATGCAATAGGTGCTTAACAAATGCTTATTCATTGATCTTAATAAATAGTCCGTGAAAAATTGAGTATTGCCTCCTAATACCCCCTTAACATCTCCTTACCTGTTCTAAAAATTGCCCTTTCGCTGGGCAGGCTACATCCAGTGAAATTCACAGCCATTACCCACACTTGATAGCATCGGTCAGGTTCTAAATCTTCAAAAATGCAGTAGCTTTCCTTCACTGTCACTCTGTATTCTTCCACCAAGTCTAGCATAAAACACAATTGTAAACTCAAGGGTATCTTCCTAAGCTTACTGTAAGTTACAGTTACTGCAAAAACTTGTCTATGACTTTTTTCAGTGGGAAACCCAAAATGACAGACTTACAGCTATCACTAAGTGACAGGAGCACTTCAGAATACTTAAGAAAGCAAAGGCATTCTGAAGAGAGATATTCAGAATGACTTAGTATTACTTCAGATTCTAAGCTTCATATATCACAGTTACTTTATTTCAATAGCAAATACTAAAATTGCATAGTTTATATTAGCTTAAATATCAGTAATACATTCTCAAGAAAATTCTTAAGAAGCAATGCTGATATTTCAGGAAAGTGTGTAATAAAATAAGGACAACTTATGATATTATAAAACATCTTTACAGATTAGTAAACCATTTTAGTATTCAGTAGGATTTTCAAAATTTCAAATTCTGGTTCCTTCTCATAAATTCCATAATTCTCTGAAATAGAGATTTCCATAATTTATAGAAGTACTTAAGCACCTTTGATAGGTCATAAACTATTCTAAGAAATAACTTTGTTCAGCCAAGACATTTCCTAAAATTACTTGTTATTTTACTTTCAATATTTTAGTAGTAAATATTACTTAGTAACATTCTAAATAACTGCTCCCTTGGGCCAATTTGATTATTCTTACTGAAATTTTCTCTCCTTTTAAAAGAACAATTTTCTTTTCTAAATTAGCCTATGGTAATTCCAGTTATCCTCTTATTACTCTAGGATGTCACATCTTCAGAACCCCTCCAGTTAAGAAATCAGATTGCTTCCTTTTAAAGTAAATTTAGGAGATCTTCAACACAGCACGTTCTTTCAACTTCATCTCTCTTTCCCAATGAGCTATACTTTCTGGACAAAAAGTTTGGCTTAAATAATGTCATAAGACATTAACTGAAAAACATTTCCCGCAGAGCCTAGAAACTGTGACTGAAGTTTTCAATGGAATCACCCTTTTAGGCTAAGTCCTGCTACCCTGGTACTCCTTTTAACAATGGACATAACATATGTTAACCGGAGTCCTATTACATACAGCATGGTGTCACAGTCTAGATCATCAGATTAACTAACTGGCATCAGCAGAGTTCAAGGCATTGAATGAAAGCGACAAGGACAGGTAAGTGTTTGAGGGATGAAAGGCGGAAGTGAAGCACTTAAAAAAAGTACTCCAGGAAATAAACAGTTGTTAAGAGGAGTGTTGGAGAGCCATGAAGTTCCATGATACAATCGGATATACAAGGAGGTGAAGTGTGGTATAACAAAATAAATACAGAGTCAAGCAAAGAAAAACATAAGCTTTGGCGTCTGAAGGATCTATATTTAAAATCTGCCCCAGTCACATGCACATTGCGTGGCCTTGGGCAAATTACTTAACCTCACATCAGTTTTCTCATTTGCAAATGAGGATAATACCACTTTTCTTGTGTTGTGACAGGTATATGATAATAGGTCCCCAATAAGATAGGAGTTCTTATAGACAAACTTAGCCAAATTTACAATACGCCAGTGGTTACTTTCTCACTTTTTTCCAATTTAAATAGGTATCACATGACACCTCAAAAGACTTAACTATTGGTAACAGTGAAATACATTATAATTTATTCCTTGTTACACATTGGGTTCCTATGGCATGTCAATCCTGTCACATGTTCATCTGGTTTCCAAAATATATGCATTTGTCTTCAACAAGCAACACAGAATGCCAGCAGTCCCAGCTGTTTTATCAGAAAGTACAACCTCAGACTGCCTGGCTTCTAGGTCCTATCAGAGGTCCTACTGAACATGTAGAGAGATGTTTACTGAGGCTCAACTATAAGACGTGCCATCCATTTAGCCTCCTAAACACATTCACCTCTATCTTTGTGTTATTTGGGACACCAGAACACCATACCATAAAGTCTTCTCATGCCTTGAGAAGTATGAACTCTGAATGTACCTTTATAGTTTGTTCATAGCTTTTATCAAAGGTGAATCTGAGAAAATGCCAACCATGGTTTCCATTGCTGCATTTGCCTTAAAATTACCGTAGAGGACACTGTCCTGTATACAGCTCATTTCTCCTCTACAAAGAGGTACACTTTATACTTGTCTTTTAGACTTCAGTTCTGATTGAAACTTTGTTTTTGAAATTTTGGTATATTAGCTCCCTTCTGAAAATGAGAATCACTTAATTGCTCCTGTCATCCGGACAGCTCCAAGCCAAACCTGAATCTCAGTGACAGTATTCATGTTGACCATTAGGATGATATTTATGCATTTTTGTTTTCCTTGATCTTGATTTCCAAATTTTGCTTATATGCTATTTCATTATGTAATTGTTGGTTTGTTGTTGTTTTTTATAAGTGGCTAAAATGCTTTGTGGGAAGAATCATAGTATCTATATGTTTAAATACTACACATTAAGATGTAGAAATGTACATATGCATCCACATTTGTGTTGGCAATCCTACCGTTTACTTCTTGGTCATCTTGTGGCTCCTCCATGCAGTAAACCTGGAATGAGTCAATGACATCTTCCTTGTTCATGCTCCAGTAAACTGCAATTGTTGTGCTAGTAGCAGAATTTGGTTCCTGAGGCTCTAATCTAGGAGGTTGTGGAACTGGAATATAAGCAAGATTTATTATAACTAGTGCTGTTTTATTGACTAATTTCTTTTCTTTTTTGCAAAAGTCACTTGTGCTTTTTGAAAATAATGCAAGCAATACAGAAGTGCATGGAGTAAAACTGGGAGGGACACCTTGTTCCCAATACCCCCAGCCCCAGGGATATTTCTTGTAGGCAACCACTGTTACGGTCGACTGTGAATCCCTCAAAAATGTTTTCTCTGCATATATACATAAATGCACATAATATACATGGAAATAAACAACTATGGACCTCCAGATGGGATCACTTGATAATATTCTTCTGTAGTCCTCTATTTAGAACAATAAACTCACACAGGTTAGAGGATACATCAAATGATTTGGTTTTCCTTCTAAACAAAAATTTTAGTATGCATTGATAGATAACCAATGTTGTATCCTTCTACATAAGTATAGACTCTGTATTGAAATAGAGACAAATGAAACCCTTTTAGCTATAGTTGCTATATCATCAAGCTGAAAAAGACTTTCGTGAATAAAATATCAAAATACACTTTCTGAAACTACTATCCCATTTTCTCTTTCCAACATAACTATACCTATGTATTTTTTAAAACAGAATGTACAAATTACATAGGGAAAAGTACTCTACTAACTGATTCATATATAAGATTTGTTCTGAATTTTAAAGGCATTATAAATCCACTGTCTGATTTTTAAAGACAATATTCTCGTGTTTTACTAGAGATTTTTTAAGTTTACAATTGTGCTTATTGAACACTAATGGTATATATGACACCATAAATCAAGCTCCTATGCAATTCTCCTCCAAAATTTTTGTGATTTAAAAGCATTAAACGTATTTTACAAATTAGAGGAAAAGGTTATTCCCATAGTTGAAATGATGTCCTATTTTTAAATTTATTTCTGTGGCTATTATCTTCCAGTCAACAATTTCCTGAGAGATGAGCTTGCTGGATAATATAGGCCAAACTTTATGAGATTACATTATTAAAAGTCAACACTGAAGGGGAAGAAGACAAAGGTTAGTTCAATAGGAAAGTGGAAATCAGAAGAAACAAATGGGTCTAAAGAAGGGAGCAAAAAGAGACACACTGAGATTCAATAAAGAGATAAAGAGATGAGGAAATACACAGTTATGAAAAATGAGAAGCAGGGTAAGTGGTCAAGTTCATGGACTCTGGAGCAGAGAGGCTGGCCTAGGGTGGCTAGATCCCCCACTGTGTTATCCCACCCTCAGTTCCCCCATCTTTGAAATGGGAAACAACAATAATAATGTCATTTCCTCCCAGGGCTGTTGTGAGAAGCAAGAGAATGTATATTAAGTGTTCAGCAAAGTCTCTGGCACATAGTCAGTGTTAACATTCAGAAAGCAAACTGGCCTTTGCAGGAGCACAGAAAATGGAGGGAGGAAGGCGGAAGCCCCTGAAATGGGAGTTGAACTATGGGTGCAACATCTGGTAAATCACAGAGGGACTGCAGAGGGAGGAGATGCTCAGCAGACTGCATCATAAGGCAGGAAGACTGCCTGTTAGAGCACCTGCCCAAGGACTGAGAATGGTTCAGAGACTCGTACACTATCTTTGACTTTTCTGTTTGTCTTCCCAGCAGGAAATCACTGTCACGTTCTAAAGGAGTCCATCCAGATAAATGTAGTTCAGTGAGTTTTCACATGGCCCAGGTTTACTGAAGAGCCAAGCAGACTGACTATTGTCAATCATCTTTGAAGCAGTGTTGGAGAACTCTTTGAGGCACGAACAACAAAAATGCTCCTTTTTTCTCTATGAATTATACATTGAGCTATATTTGCTTTAAAAAAAATGGTAACATCATTTCAAGAATCTCTCTCTCTCAGGTAACATAACTTAAAATCATTAATTGACCCCCCCAAATCAACAAATTTTAAGGAAGAAGCAGTTGCAGGGAATTAAGCAAAGCATGCAGGCTAGAAATAATTTTGTATCAAATGTACTCCTTCCCCCCAAAACATTAAAATTAAAACATCTTTTTTCAAAAACAAGAGCCACTTTTATTTTTCAGAGTGTTCTAAAATTAAAAACGGAGTATGAATATTCCATAGATGTAATCTATTAACAGCAGCTAGATTTACAATTCCTGTGTGACAGAAGAACATCAGAGGCCCTGATTTTACACATTAGCAACGCTATTTACACTTCTGTGGTAATAAACTTGAGTAGGAGTAATGCCAATAAACAGAAAATGACTTTAAGGCTTCTTTGCCTGAGGCTAAGGAATTGGGTAGAGGAATCACCCATGGATTCCCTCTGCCTGACAGAGCGTGCCCATAAAGAGCTGTCATGCTCAGCGAGCTAAGCTTTAGATCAACTTGCTCTTCAGTACCTGTGGCGGGACACAGATTCCCACTCAACCTAGCTTTCAAAAGAGCTCTCAGGAGAGCAGCTTTATTCGCAGTAGCCAAAAGGCGAAAGGAACCCAAAGCACATCAGTGGGTGATGGATAAGCAAAATGGTACAGCCATACAGTGGAATATTATCCAGCTTTACTAAGGAAGGTCTGACACATGCTACAACACAGGTGAACCTTGAGGACATTATGCTAAGTGAAATAAGCCAGTCAGTCACAAAAGACAAATACTGCATGATTCCACTTGTAGGAGGTACCTAGAGTAGTTAAATTCATAGAGACAGAAAGTAGAATGGTAGTTGCCAAAGGCTGGGGGTGGAAGGAATGAATTGTTATTTAATAGATACAGAGTTTCAGTTATGCAAGATGAAAAGAATTCTGGAGATGGATTAGTGGTGATAGTTGTACAAGGATGGCAGCTTCACAATGGTTAGAGTGGTAAATTTTATGGTATGCATATTTTACCACAATTTTCTAAAAAGTTCTCAGGATCCAGAATCAAGGGATTAGTGACCGTGGATGTCATCCCTCCTTCCACAGCGATGTACTTCACCTCTAGTGTAGCGTGCAAAGACTGAAGCCAGACTCCCTCCGCCGCATGCACCCCAAATAGCTGTGTATGTAGGGCAATTTGGGAGATATTACTCTGCTCCCTCTCTTTCCTTGCCTGGCAGATGGGGATAACAACAGAACCTACCTCCTGGAGTTGTGGGATTAGATGACAGTCTAATTAGGTAACAGTCTCTATCGTGCCTGGCATCACGGAAGCGTGGAATAACTGCTGGAGGCTGCTGTGTTTCTCATTAGAAAACTCACATCCTTTCCTTATTATATCTGTTTATTTACAGAGTGATCAGATTAACTTTTCAGGTACCAGGTGAGAACTTTATATCTGACAGGTGTCACTGGTTGCAAAATGAACAAGAACTATTTAGCAGCAAGTCAACACCCCTGGGCTCCAATTCTATGAAGCAGATGCACAACGCATGGCATTTATACCTCAGAGATCCGTCCCCCCATAGCGGCCTGGAACTACTGGGGCTGCCACACGCACTGTTTCTGAATGAATCATTAACACTTTGTGACAGTTTAACTCTGCGACCTCTAAATATATAAAATGTCCTCTCATTGCCTATCAGATACTCAAAAGAATACCCTTCCAAATGAACAACAGCATATAATAAATCCCTTAAAAGCAAAAGAGCTACTCTGTTAATCAGAATTTCTTGGTTTGCATTCACTTCTCTATTTAAATGCTTCTTAAAGACATTACAAGAAAATACCCTTTTGTTCTGAGACATTTCTAGAGAAAATCCATTAGGATAAGTGACTGAATTTTTCATTTTATGTAGGATTGGCGGGGTCTGGGGGGTTTTTTTTGTTTTGCTTTTTTTTTTCATATTTTTAAAGAACAGTAGCTTTTACTAGTTACTAAATTAAAACTTCCTATAAGAATGACAGTTGTCAATTTAAAAACGGAAGTTGTCTTTAAGGTGGCTTTGAAAGACTAAAGCATCTTTTAAGGAGGGCATCTCAGTACATTTTACAGTAAGTATTACTTGGTTACTTCACTGAAATACAGCAGCTTTGAAAAAATCTAAATGAATCTCATTGTCTTGTTTGTTAAAATAGCACATTAAAAAATATTTTGAAGAGCCGGCAGGATGCTTTTGACAGCTGAGTAGGAGGCTCCTGGCCACAGAGCATGATGCTGCGCTGTTAGTTCTCTAAGTTAATCTGTTTAGTTTGAAAAAAGGAAAAAGAGCTCAACTGAAGAGGGGAAAAAACACTCATAAGGAAAAATCTGTTCAACACATATGAAAATATTTTATTTCTTTTTCCTTCTATACCTAGCTGCTGGCATGAAGCAAATAATCTCTAGAAGACAGAGAGAGAAAAATCCTATTTTAAAAGGAAAAAAAGAGGAGACCCTTTGATTCTATTGCTACTTCCTCCCACCTCCTCAATATCCCAGCACAGTCATAAAGCTTCAAATGGAGATGCAGTTTATAACTGAAATGGTATACTAGTCTCACGCTTTATTTCAGAGTCTAGCTTTCTAGCTTTAAATTCTTACAACTGAGATTTTTCTTTTTCCAGTTATAGCTCCTTACGTTCAGAAACTTTACAAAACAAAGAAGGAAAAACTGCCAAATCTCATCAAGGCAATCAATATATTAAAGTTCCTACCAGCCACTTGTTTTAACATCTGGTCACTTCTTGCTGAGCCGTCATCATAATGTTCAAAACGTGAAAACGCAGCAGGCATTTTCTCTAGAGAAGCAGTGCTCTCCATTGCAGAAAGCAACCTATCAAGGGAAAATACGTCTATATAAGTCAAGAAATTATAACATACAAAATGAAAGCTAAAAAATTGTTCAAAATGAAGGTTGTGGTGGTAGTTTTTGTGAGGAACTGTATCCAAAAAGTTTCAAATTTGTTTCAAAATCTGGATATATATGTCTAAAGTCTATTCTTAGGCTTCTTTAGTGCAACTGGTAATATGAGAAACTCCATTCCTAGATCCTTAAATCTGAATCAATTCCCTCGAATTATACAGCCTTAATTTTGCATCTATAAAGTTAGTCCTAAAAATGATTACATTTTAATGATCATTTTTATTTCCTAAAAATATAAAGGTTCTGCAAATCACTGTGTGATGTCTTTGCTGTTTTCAACCCTCACTATTATACATTTAGCTGTTAGAAAATAAGTTCACCTACTATGTGCCAAGTACTGTTCTGGGTACTGAGGATACGGCAGTGAAGGAGGATAAAGTCTATCCATTCTTAATAAAAGACTAAACAAGCCACAGTACATAAATGAATAGCTTTTGATACTCAAGACCCTCTTGGGAGAGATGCCAATAAACATTAACTCTTAGCATTGTTGGTATCCAGGTAAAACCTGGACTTAAAAAACCATATTGAATCAGAAGACGGAAAGGGGGAAGAAGAGATCACAAAAGCATTTATCTTTAGCATGAAGAGCCTAAAATTTGGTTAGGAGCTCTCCCCTCACAGAGGACTGGAATCTTCCAGCCATAAGTCAACCACTCGGAGCTCCATTGGCTCTGTAATCATGGACTTTTCGGCTTGGGCAGTACAGACCCACCCCTAAGCCTATGCATCTGCTGTTGGAATTTTCTTCTCCTGGATACTTACATAGACCCTTCTTTACTTAATTTAGGTCTCTCTTCAAACGTCAGCTCCTCAGAGAAGCTGTATGCTACTAACACAGCAATGTGGGTCCCCTCTATTCTTTACTCTGTTGCAATTTTTTCCTCAAACTTATCACAACCTATTTGTTTTGGTCTGTCTATTTTACCTGAACATAATCTACATGCAAAAAAAAAAGGACTTTGCTGGGTTCACTACTGTATTGGCACATAGTAGGCTTTTAATAAATATATTTTGAATGAATAAGAGGACAAGGTTTTATTTGGGTGAAAAATGTCAGGATCTTAGGTCTGGGAAATTTTTTTTATCACTGTGAGGGAGAAAGATTATAAAATATAACTGAAATATTTAAAGAGTGTCTTTAAATATTTACTTGTGCTAGGAATAATAAAATTCACTAATCATCTGATTTGGGAGAGATGGTTCCAGTCGGGGCTTCGAAGAGGAAGGGACATTGAGGCTGAGTCTTAAAGAATGAGTAGGAGTTTCCTGGGCAGAAAAGAAGAGTATGGGTGTTGCAGAGAGAAGAACAGCGTGAACAAAGTCACAGAGTTGTGAAAGAGTATGACACACTCAAGGGCCAGAGGGGACAGTGGGCCTCCTTGAGAACTGGGAAATGGAGACAGAGATGAAATAGAAAGGTGATTTTTGGCTTGACTGAGAAGAGCCTGCCGAGAGTTTACATTTTATTTCTTAAGGCAGGGAGAGCCACAGAATTGTTTACACAAGGGAAGCTTAAAAAAGAATGCCCTGGCACAAGTCTGGGTGAGGATGAGAGCCAGTAGTCTACAGAGGTAGTGAGGTCGGTTGGGAGGACTCCAGGATGCTATAGGTGAGGGAAGACAACAGGAGCCCTAGTTAACGCTTTGGGGGTGCAGAGGGTGGAAATAATAGACTCAAAATGAACACACAGGGGTCATTAGTGCACATTTTAAGCCCTCTCAATACTTGTCACTGACTAAATGGAGGACTTTTTGTAGCACAGAAGCTCTGGCTGTAGACAGAACACGTGATATATTTGAGTTTTCCCTTGACCTGCTCAACTTTAACATCAGCGTGTGTAGGGGCAAGTGGACATGTTTTTATGAATAAGTTCCACAATGATTGTGACTCTCTTCTTCATTATTATAACACAAAAGAACAAAACAGAGGGGGAAAAAATGCATCCTCTTAACAGAACAGCATTTTCTAAGCAAATGTGTTTTTCAAAATATGCAAATTTTGAGTCTAAATATGCTTGACAGCATTCTTTAATTTAAGCATTTTCAGTGTCAAGAAAAATCATTTAATATACAAGCACTGCCTTTAGAGATATAATATGATGGGAGGGAGAAAAAGTGGCAAGGAAAAAAACGTAGGTAATTAGCACCTCTCATAGAAAGCAACACCAAGAACACAGACTTGGAGGCAGAAATTGTCTTGAGGACATAAAAGACTTCTTTTTAATGAAAAAAATCAAGCTTCATCAAATGTGTGCATGTTTAACAGGATTTTCTTTAATTGCTCGTACTTCTTCGAATCCTGAATTTTGTTGTCCTTTTTCTTTACAGAAAAATAAAGTTATCCCAAGTGTACTCTCCTTTAGGCAACATGCAGCTTCAGCAAAGATTAATTCATTGCCAATTGGATAATTAATTAAAAATTAATTAAAATGACATGCAGATGAACAAGTTCAAGCACAAAACCAAGGAAATGGTATTTAGAATTAAATGGATGCCAATTCATATTAGCAAGTTAATATTCTAATGTTTAGAAAAGCAAAAATCCGAAACTATAGCATTTTTAAGGGTAAACACATTTGCAAATTTTCATTCACCAAATTTTCCTGCCAATCAGTATCCTCCACGAGTGGATAAAAATATAACAAACAAGCAAATATGCCTCTACACTGTCTCGTGCATATGGAATGGCACTATTTTGTGGTGGGATAAACATCAATAGTACTTAGAAGAAATGTCGAATTTTTTTAAAACATAAAGAAAACTAAGAGCAAGCCCTGGGTATCAGTTTCCAGACCTGCCAGGTGTGCCCCTGACTCCTGTGTGAGAACTGGTAAACGTGCAGTTGCCTGGTCCCATCCTGGATTCTCATGTAGCAGATCTAGGGTGGGGCTTTGGTTTAATAAATGGCACAGGTACTTCATGTGTGACCAGCTGGGGGCACCACCGGGCCAGGGGACAGGTTGTTATAAACCAGAAGTACTCAACCCTGCCTGCATATTAAAATCCCCTAGCAAGCTTAAAAAATGCCCCGGCCACACCCCACACCAATTAAACTAGAATCTCAGGATGTCAGATTCAGGCATCAGCGTTTTTTAAAGCTCCCTAGGTAATTCTATTTATAACAGAGTCACTGTAATAAAATCCTTATTGATCAAAGCCAATATTAATATACACATTATTTTCTTAAAGCCTATTGGCAATATTCTGTTGAACAGAATTTTTTTTAAAGGTAAACAGGATTCATCTGTGCAATTTTCACTACCTACAAAAAAAAAATCAGGTTTCTAACATAAATTCATTTTTCTATATTTTAATACAAATCTCTGATTTTAGTTTATGCTATTTCACAATTTGTCATTGAATGAAATAAACTGAAGATAACATTTACAATTTTAGCAACTTACATTAAAGGGGTAAAAATGATTTTAAAAAAAATTAGGCTCAATCAGTAGGAAAGACCTCAAGGGCAGAAGGGAACTGGATCAGATCAGAAGGAGCATTTCACTATCAGATGCTCCAGAAGATAAACATAGGTCTGCTGTTATGTGTTTTTATAGACAACATTTCCCAATTTCTTGTTGAATGTTTTGCCTTTTAAATGAATGAAGACTTTCTCTTAGACTGAGTGTGAAAAACAACAAAAACAAAACAAAATCAAAAGAGGAAGATTCATTTGGGTGTACTGAGCAGAAAGAGAGGATAAATGCATACCTGTCTTTTGAAGAGATAATGAGAGAACATTCCATTAAGATTACATAAGTTATCAAATTACTCAAGGCAGACATGAATGATTCTTTCAAAAACTCATATTTAACCAATAAGTCTAAGTATCCACAAATGTTCTGTGTGCAGTGACAGGAAAGATGGTCTGGTCTAGATTGGGTTGGAAATACAGAACACATCTCAAGGAAGCAGTTAAAAATCTACATTATGGTAATTGCTATTTAACTAAAGCACATGCAATATTCTTTCAAAGCTGTCATTTAGTTTTTAAAAGCACTGTGTCTAAAAGTGCAAATCCAGTAGCTCACTAAATGTATGTATTTTTTTTAACCGGCAGCTCATTTTCTATAAAGCATGAAAATATTAAAAATAAAGCATACAGTCATGCTATTCTCAGTCACCACTACACTGTGCCATGTTTTATATACCTTTCATTGATTTCCTCAAACGACTTACGGGGGATTGAGAGAGAGAATGAGAGAAAGAGGGAGAGAGGGAGAGAGGGGGAGAGAGAGAGAGAGAGAGAGACTAATTAGCAAAAAAAAGAAAAACCAAGCTAGAGGGTTAAGATTATATATGTTCTAAACTCATGACTCCTCAGCTACCCCTGAGGCTGTTTCTCTTTGGGGGCTTCAGCTCAGGCAGCAAAGAAATTAGTGCTCAGAAGGGGTGGGGGCCAGGGAGTCTGGGATGGTGGCTTTAGTTTCCGCTTCTGCTCTGCTCTCTACCCTCAACCAGGCCAGAAACAAGTTGCTTATGCTCTGCTGCTTTATTCATTAAAAAATGCCTTAGCTTCCAGAATAGAATTCTTTGAAGCAAGAAAAATGACTTAAAATTGTTCAATGTGAGAGATACAGCAAAAATGTAATCAGTAGTTATCTCTGGGTGATACCTTCTCTACGCTTTTCTGTATTTTACAAATTTTCTAAAATGGATATATATTATTCTTAGAATCAGGGAAAAATGTTTTCTTTTTTGCAACTTATTCTAGAGAGAAGAAAACATTCTTATCAGACAAAGGTAAGGTTTTTAGGGAACACAAAGCACTTCATTAATTTTATACTTCACATAAAAGTGAAGTATGCCTAGTTTTAAAATATTAAAGCCTCGCCTTAGTTAAGCATAAAGCAACAGAATGATTTTCATCCTCCTTTGAGGATGCCATGCCCACCTCACCCAAACTGCCCCTGAACGGAGGCATCCCTAATGGCAAATCAAAAACCTAACATGGCCCCATCTTGCCTTGCTCTCTCTCCAGACTTTATTTGAGGGCTGGGAGGACTGAGGAGCTTGGAAAGGGAGGTTACTACTTAACATAGAACAGTGTTTTCTTCTGGTTTGACAATTAGATTTGGAATTGCCCTCAGGGAAAACATCTCCATTACTCCTGGTTAATCCTGGCTTCCTGGAGATCCAGTATTCTAGGGACAGTTCTAGGGGATTAGAAAAGCAAAGAGCTGCTTCTGTGTGCCATTTGAGGAGCACCCAAGGGAATCTCCGTCCTCAAGGTACTTGTTTGATTTAAGGAATCTGGTCCCTAGGAAGACTCTTCTAAAAAAACCAACACGTCACCCGAGAGAGGTATCATATCACGTCATCCTTCTGCAAGCTGAATGTGAATGCTACTCTCCACTTCGTGAGGCTGACTGAATGGTCCCTCTGAGAGGTCATTTCAGATTAGGGAGTGGAGTGGAAGGGACAGGCTCTGGAGATCAGGCCACTCAGAGGGAGCATGGTATGAATAAAGTTTTCAGGCTGCTCTCCCTCCCTCTTAGAAGTTGACCAATCCACTGTGACAGAATGGGCAGGTGATGCTGTGGCCTGGCTTCTCTGTATCCTTCAGCTGGATCTTGGTATTATGGCTTTAAGGATTTGCTGGGCCTTTAGTTGCTGCCAATAGCATCAGACATGCCCTAATGGTTTTTTGAAATCAGAATTATAGAAACTCTACACAGAGATAGATGTGATCTTAGGGAATATTATAAGATGAATTTTTTAAAGAAGATTTGGGCCATAGTGGGTTTAAGGTGCCTTGGTGTGTTTTAAGTGGTGCTTACGGTCAGGAAAACGGTCTCGTCAAGCTCCTCGGCTTCCCTCACGATGGTCTCCAGGGTGTCCTTGGCAGTATCCATGCTCTGCAGAAAGTGGACCATCTGGTCGTGCAGGAACTCCATCTTCTTTTTCTTCACTTCCTCAAAGCTCTGGGCTTTCTCGTCATACTGCGCTAAAACCTTCTTCATCATTTCCTCGTTCTGTTCTTCTAGCTTTTTCTCATTTTTACTACAGTTTTCCTAAAACAAAAACCCCAACCAAGAAAAAACAAGCAAAAAAACCCACTTCTTAATGAAACAAAAAGTGTGTGTGTTTAAGAGAAATATCTTTTAGAGAATTAACCTCTGGCATCCTAAAAGAACCACAGATTACATGCAGTCTAAATGCCCAGCCCACCAACTCCCTTTACCATAGCTAGCTTTGCAGTAAAATTCACTATAAGTTGACTATCAAGAAGGATTTCGTTAATGAAACAGACGCACAAAAATTTGTACGGCAGTCTTGCCCACACTCATTCTCACATAAAATGTGAAAGTGTCATGAAGATGAATGAAGATCCATGACCGTCAGGTAGTAGAGAGGGTTTAATGCCATTTTCACACCTCACTAAAATCACAGAGCAAGAGAGGGAACAGCCAGGATAATGGACAGGGTGCTTCCTTCATAAATGATCTGCAGGGAAGGGGCAGCTTCCCCCAGAGCAAGAGAAACTTTATTGCCCACATGGACAAACTTAGATGCTTAGCTGTCCTCAGGAGAGGACTAGTGATAAGGTGATCATATTATTTACTGTGTAAAAGGAACACTTTGGTGGGGCTGGGGAATGACACTAAAAATAATCAGCAGTTGTTAACTGATCTTCTACAGGAGTTAAACACACTCTCACAAGCAAAGTAGGACATGGAGTCACCCTAGTGGTGGGGAAGCAGTGTAACAGCCTTCTGCAGGGGCCCGCTGCCAGTTGTGATTGATAAGTAAGGATGCCTGGGCTGTGTCTGTATGGATGGAGCATTGCTACCTGCTTCCTTCACTGTAGAGGGAGCAGAGGCCAGCAGGAACTCATCAGAGACAGCTGGTACCAAGAGAGACATTCATCTGTCCTGGGCATGGAACACTGGGCAGTGCGTTAGAGCACCTCTACAGAGCTAACCCAGTGACAGGCAAGTCAGAACTCAGACCTGAATTCATATCTTGGCTCTCAACTTTCTATCAACTTACTATGACCATGGGTAATATACTTAACTCTTAAGTCTCAGTTTCTTATCTATAAAATGGGAACAATAAAACAATAGCTCCTATTTCATATGGTTATTGTGAGGATTAAATTGAATAAAATATGTAAATCATTTGCCCTATCACAGTAAATGCCCAATAAATGTGTATGTGTTTCCAAGGGCAAGTCATTTTTCCTTAATCAGAAAGTAGTCTCACTGATGACACACTGAGAGAAGACTTAAGGACTTTACTTTTAATGGAACAAAACCAACAATGGCAAACCACATATGCACACACAAACCCCAAGTCAGGTCCTTTTAGCTTAGAATCATTTACTTCTGATGCCATGAGCAAACCAAGTCAAAGTAAAAATGATAAGGTAACTTACCTCAATGGTATTAAAAAAGGATTCTATCTCACTAACAAAAGCCTCAATCCTCAAGGACTTTTCTTGTAAATCTTCTAGAAATTCTGCTAACTGAACCTGAAGAAAAGAATTAAGATATTCTTAGTATATGACATTTGAGAAAAGAACTTCAAGCAGTGAGTTCCAATTTCCTTATGAATTTAGTATGATTGGTAGAGATTCATTATACTATGTTCACTAGCAAATCAATCTTCAAATTTTCTTTGAGCTTCATTTAAGTTGACTATAGGATAATGTATGATAAGCAATTAGGAGACTTGTGTGTGAAAGCAACAGACAGTTTATTTTCTTATGCAAGAGAAAGGACTTCTTAGTAAGTTGTTAAGTTCAAAGCATACTTGTTTTAGTAAACTATGAATTTAATTCTTTCTCCTTAGTAAGTCCTCGATTTTCATATATTGTCTTTCCTCTAAGAGAGCAGACTTTTTGCTGAACTGGTCCAACATATCTGAGTAGCCTCCTCATATATGCACCAAACGGATTCAGGTGTGCCTGCAGCGCCTGACTCTCAAAAGGTGAAGAGTGTCACCAGGCCAGAAGTCTAGCATACCAAATGATGAAAACTATCTACTAAAGAGAACTTGAGGCTCTAATGATCCTTCAAGGGTTAAAAAAAACTCAAGGAGTGACAGTCAACTAGAAAATGTCTGGGTGATGTGGGAAGATGGTAGCTATTAGTTATAAATCTAGCTATAATCTATGCTGTGAAGCTTAACAAGTAACAGAATAAAAGAGCTTCCGTCTGCCTGATTCTATCCACTAGCCACAGAATGAGAGAGAAATTACCTTGAGAGAAGTCCCTTGAGGATTTAGCCTCTGCTTCCCTCTACAGCCCCTGCCTCTTGTCCCCAAGTCTCCAGGCTCCTCTCACACAAGCCCCACCTTTCCTTGGACTCTTTCACCTATGTGCCTTTTCATTTGGCATTCTCCAACTCTTGACTGTCCTCCTTGTCCTTGTTTGCTGGAAGAAGTCCATCTAATTTAATTACCCAAGCTTCACCTTTTCGAGATATCGTCCAGTCCCTCTCCACCTTTTCATTCCCTCCCAAAAGGTTTGTTTCTCAGAACACTGTGCTCCCGCAATGCTATATTATTTTGGAGAACTGTAAGTCCACCTTTTATTTTTGTTTTCATTCCCAATGATCAGTACAGTTCCTGGCATGGAATGGGAGGTCAATTAATATTAAGAAAGAAGGAAGGGAGAGAATGAAGGGAGAAAATAAGTGACAGATAAAAGATAAGCCACCACATTGGGGATGGGGTTGTGGGAGAAGCCAGGACCTGGATAATCTGCAGATGCAGCCATCAGTTCCAGAATAGTCATAACTGGCCCACTCACAAGATGCCAGAGAATTCTCAAGTGACAACTTTTAAAATTTATTTTTAATTTTCAAAAATTGCCAACCAACTCAATCTTCACAGTTGATTTAATGAAACGAAGCAAGCCTCTTTGGCTTAGTCAAATAGTTACCCCCTTCTCTTCCTCATATTATGGAGAAGATCTGGGGGGAAAAACTTTAAAATGGTTTTAAAGGCAGAGACTCATATCTCCCTGCTTTTGAAATTTGTTTTAAATTAAGAGTATTTAGACAGCATTTTTTTAATTTCTAAAACTCAGAGAGATAAACAAAACATAATTAAGAAGGCTGAAAAAATCTAGTCTTTCTGCTGACAGTGCTCAGTAGTTATGTTAACAAAACCAAGTGTTATCAAAGAATAGAGCACATTTGACTGGTGCTAATACACCCTAATGCCTGAGATTTCATAAAAGAAATTGACTCATGCCCTACCTCCAAACTTTATCAGGTAAAGTCTGAACAAAATTTCACCCTGGAGGACGGTGGTCAAGATGGTGGAGTGGTAGGACCACAAGCTCGCCTCTCCTCGTGACTACAAAGAAACCACAACTGAATGCTAAACAACCATCGAGAAAAGACTGGAACCTAGCAAAAAAGATCTTCTGCAACATAAAGAAGGAATCATAGCAAGATGGCAGGAGGGCCATGCTCACAATATAATTGGGCCCCAAACCCCTCATGTGGGCAACCCACAAGCTGAAGATTTGTTAAGTCACAGAGGCCCTCCCATAGAAGTGAGAGCTCTAAGCTCCAAGTCAGGCTCCCCAGCTCAGGTCCCGGCATTGGGAAGAGAAGGAGACCCCAGGATATCTGGTTTTGAAGGCCAGGAGGCTTGGCTCTGGGAGCCTCACGGGACTAGGGTAAACGGAAACTCCATTCACTTGAGAAGCGTACACGGAAACTCATGTGCACCAGGTCTAAAGACAGAGGCGGTGATTTCATAGGAACCTGGACCAGACCTGCCTGCTGGATTTGGAGGGTCTCCTGGGGACGTGGAGGACTGCTGCGGCTCACTCAGGGGACATAAAAACTGGTGGTGGACGTTCCAGGAGTGTTAATCTACATGAGCTTTCCTGGAGGCTGACATTTTGATTGCATCAATAGCACCAAGACCTAGCCCCACCCAACAGTCTGTCGGGAAGCCTCAGGCCAAACAACATACAGGGTGGGTACAAAGCCACACCCATAATCAGAGTTCCTAAACCACAAAGACCCCTAGACACAGCCCTACCCACCACAGGTCCAGGACCAAGCTTCTTCCAGCAGCGGGCAGGCACTGGCTCCTCCTGCCAGGAAACCTGCATAAGCCTCTAGTCCAGCCTCATCCACCAGGGGCAGATACTAGAAATAAGAAAACAATAATCCCAAAGCTTGTGGAAGGAATCCACAAACATATAGAAAGATAGACAATATGAGGTGGCAAAGGAGTATCTTCCAGGCCAAGGTACAAGATAAAATCCCAGAAGGAGAAATAAGTGATGATGAGATAGGTAATTTATTTGAGAAAGAGTTTCAAGTAATGATGGCCAAGATGTTCAGAGAACTCAAGAGGAATATAGATGCACAGAGCGAAGTTTTTAGCAAAGAGTTGGAAAATATAAAGAATACCCAAACAGAGCT